GCTGGATGTTTTTGCTGCGAAACATGAAACTCTAATTACCAGAAAATGCCCAGAAAGGAAACTGCCAAAAAAAATAAACGACGAACGAAAGGACGACGAGTGTGGGCTCTCGTTTATGCTTTTCACTTTTCGAGCGAATTGAATCCGCAATATCCAGCCGCAGGCCGGGATGGAAAATTGAGGGTGAGCCTTGCTGACGAATGTACCCCGAACTGGACTAGAAAACGAAAACCGGAGTCCGTTTTCCCGGATTTGATGAATAGAATCGGCGCCCACACACATCCCGTCAGTGATGAAGAGCGGGGCCAAAATTGCGTTTTGTACCTGGGAAAGCTCGTTATTTTTGGCCGTGAAACATGAAACGTAAATTACAAAATGCTTAATTAGATCGTTTATCAAGTGATTGAAACAAAACTAACCCACAATTCATACCTATAGTTATTAGGCAAAAAATTGCTTGGTTTTTAAAATCACTTTAAAATTTTAAATGTTAAATAATATTGACTTTGTTTAACAGGAATTAATATATATGTTAAAATTATGTTTTTTTTTGACGTTAGTTGGAAACTTGGATAGAAGTTTTCTCATCACTAACCGGATATCATTATGCAATGGCTAATGGACAGGTGGGCGGCAGATGGATGGTCAATTATCACCGGTGCTCCCCAGAGTCGCATTATAATTTGCCATCTGTCTCGGGACGATACTCCTCGGCATAGGTCAATCTGAGAATAAATGTAGGAAGCCACTAGCTTTATATACGACTGGGAGCCCTTGTCTTGCTCATTGGTGACTATTAAATGCGCAATTAATTGGCGCCGGGTCTGCCAGATGCCTAATGAGCGGGAAAGGGTTAAGGATGGTTTGGCTTTCCCCAAATGACAGATTAAAGCTAACGACTCCAATGCCTATCCTGAATCCTAGGAAAAATTTTCTTTCATTTGTTTGAGCGAATTTCCTATATTATTGAGGCACCTCAAACGACTATATTTTTGTATTTCATCTCGATTTCATATTTATTGTACAACCAATAATATTTCGTAGCATAAATCAACACTAAAATCGCAATCAGCAATATGTCAATGATTTTTTGCCACCAGTTTTTGCTTTGATATAGCCGCAATATATCATACTTTTTTCCGATCCGTTCGCATACGCTTTGACTGACTTTTAATATATTTGCGCATTTTCCTTGTAGTTTTTCATATTTGCTCGCGAATATTCGCGGTATTAATTTCCACCGCCTGCACCGGATAATTAAAAATAAAATCAGGCAAGCGTATGAAATAAAGAAATAAATTCTGCAGTGTGCTTTTAGGCGTTGTCCGTTGCTGTCGTCACTTCCGGTTAATATCATGGCGTCGGTGGAGCGGTACTGTTGCATCTGTGTGGGCGGTTGAAATGTGGCTGGTGGAATAAGCACTGCGGCGTGGGCTAAATAAACGTTAAAGTCGTTTCGCTTGCGATTACGCAAAGTGACGCGAACATTGAGAGAAAAATGTTACAAATATTTTAAAAATATTTCAATATTTATTGAACTTATGAGCTGAGCACCCCTGGTTTAAATCTCATTAAAATTATGATAATTTTCATTTCTTAATTTTTATTCGATATTATTCGACTTTTCTTGTTCTCTGTATTTTTATAAGAATGTTCGCTCAGTGCACCAATGACAGCCGTAAAGTGAACATACTAAATGTTAACTCAGCGGCAAGTTATTGATGTGACAACTGCTTGGCGACGGCAGTTTCCATTTAAATGCACTCAACCTGCGGTTTTCAGTTAGTATACCTATAAGCTATACCTACCACTATAGTTTACAGGGAGGGCCAAGTGAAATTGCTTGCTTAGATGTAGCAAAGAAAATGTAAAACAGATTTTTGAATGCATTTTTTACTTTTAGTGTTACCAACCAACTTTGTTGACTAACTTCAATTACTGTCCTCAATGGCAGCAAGTAGTTTATAACTATTTCTGAACTCATTACCATTATTATATTCTCAGTAGTCAATTAAGATTTCTTAAGCCCTTTCTCACTGTTTCCTACTGTTGCAATTGCCGCGAGAAAGTTGTCACTTAAGTTTTGTTCCCAAGTAATTTATGCCATGACTGCAGTTGTCCCTTTAATATGCTGATTACTGCAGCGATACTCGCCAATTATATTTCATTAGTGCCAGCTGGAGGATTCGCAAGATTCAGAAACTCATCGAGAGAACTTTGTCGTTTGCTAGCAGGTGGTAGTCGTGGAAATATGAGAACCGACTTTCGGCCTCCTGCCGTCCACTTTGACCTGTTTGTCCCCCGGCCATCCTTTTGTTAAGGATGTTCTGGGATGGCTTTAAATAGCCATTTTGGACCTGGTTGTCATGGTGCATCATGTGCCGCCTATCGATTCAGTCGCCTGTGCAACGGAAGTTGGGATTTTTGCGATAATCCGAACGTATTGCCAAATGTCATAGATCACCCAATTGAAATGTCGATTGCCAGGCGAATCCGTTAATTAGGAAGGTTATGCTGCCATGGGACTTTCGTTTGTGATTTTTTTTTTGGAATTTAAGAGAATTGCAAATTTAACGAGAATTATTGTAGCTTAAAGAATTTAATTTTATAAATTATTTCTAAAAATCACTGGAATTATTCGGTAAAAGTCTTTAACTATAACTTTTTGGGAATCTGTTTATAAACATTAGACTAAAATTTTTTAGCAATATCCAACATTTCGCAAACGACTCCAACTTACAAACACTTACCAACACTGGAGCCCCATTTAGTGGTATGCTACAAATCACCGCTCGGAGACAGCTCCGCCCCCAAAACTGAATCGCGACCAATCTACTGAGTGTTAGCATCTGTGACTGGCTCCGAACTGTTGTTGCCAGTAAATAAACTGGCCAAATTTGTCTAATGCGAACTCCCAACTCCCAAACTCCCATTTCTCAAGCCCCGGGGAACTCCCCCTTTTTTTGGGGGCCATTGTCTTTGCTTGCCGCTCTGTGCTCTCTGTGCATAATTCACGAGTTCAAATTGCCAAACGCCACATAAATGTACAAACAGGCACGTATTTATATATCTTGCCATCTCCCCAACCCCGCCCCCAAAAAGGGCGTGCCCCTCTTTCTTATTCAGTGGGGTTTATGCGGACAATTGGAGCCAGCATTATAGTAATGAAGGCAGGAAGTCTTAAATATTTTGTAGACAAACTTTGCTTTCGCTTGATTATCAAAACAAAAATCAAAAAATATTTAAAATATCTGTGTTTCTGTTAAATATTTCTATTTTTACCAGATTAATACCTACGTATTTTTCTTTTTTTATTATTATCTATTATTATTATCTATTATTATTATCTAAATGATAACCAACATTTATTTATCATTTATTAAAAAATTACACTAAAATTTCAGCTATGTGTGTAAAATCTTGTATTTATGCTGTGAAATGCCTTAGCTTCTTAAACCACCTTTTAAGCTACTATCACTCCAACCGCAGTTGTTTAAAATATATATACAATATAGGTTAGGTCGCCGCTTTGCCTCTGCGGCTTGCATGCCAATTTTATGTTTTAATAATAAGTCTCTGGCATGCAAGCGTCGCATATTTTATGCCAACTGTTGGTGGGCTGCGGGGATGGGGATTCCAGGTAAAATGGAGGGGTTGCCCAAGGCGGACTCACCTGGAGTCATTCAGTCAGCTAGACCTTCATTCATTTTAGTTCACTTCAGCTTTAGCTTCGTGTTTATTTTTAACCCAATTGTTTTTTTCCCCTCCACTAAGGAATTTATTCCACCCCAAGATGATTTTGAAATATATCTCCTGGAGTGTCATTTTGCACCTGAAATGTTTACAATATTTAACAGCTGCACCGAATATTGATTAAAAATTCAAGCAACAACGAGCGAAATATGGAACATAGTTGCACTTTTTGAATTTTCGAGTGCGTGCGGTCATGCAAAATGCAAATGCAAGTATGAAATATGAAATATGATTGCCGCAATTTTGTGACCAGTCGCCCATTCCCACGATCGGACGGTCAACCGGTGGATGGTAGAGTAAATATTTGGGGCGCGGCTCCCGAAATTGGAAAATTAAAATTTTAATGGGTTTTTTAAAACATGTTTAAACAATTAGATTGATTTTAAACGATTATACATTTTTGTATGTTTTATAACCTAATTTATTAAATTATTATATTTGTAATTTTAAATTTATGTTTCGAAACACTAATATTTATTTCGGAATATTTTTTAAACTTACATGAAATCTACAATTTAGCCAAATTGAAATATTTAATAAATTCGGTTTCAAAATCCTATATTATAAATTCAAAAATATTTTGTGCAACCTAAAACCACTGCAACTCGACTGCATCTCGAATGAATATCTCTCTTTTTGCTGATTTGTGGTTACTGCCAGTTGCTTTTCCATATAAATATATATATGCGTACGTATAAGGGGTGTGAGTGTCGCTCGTAGCTCGTATAAATTTTCCTTTCCATTTTTAATTCGCACTTAATTAAAAATCCTTCGCTGACGTGCGACACGCACGGGTTTAAACCGCCTTAACCCGAGTTCAACCTCAATCCCGACCAGACCCTCTGACAATTGAAACTTGCTTTCTGTTTTTACAATTGAAGAGGGAAAAACATGAACAGGATTTTTTTGTTTGTGTTGATTCCCCACTTTTATTACTAATTTAAATGTAAATGCAAAATATTATAAATAAAAGATTAACATGTAAAATATAAGAAAAAAATATTTTACTAAAAACTAACACTAGAAACTAACAATAACCGTTTTTTATAAATCTGGTTTTATCAACCCTATGAAAAATACCAAAATTAAAAAAAACCTTTACACTGATAACTTTTGGGTAAATGCGGAGATTTCTAACAAGACTTATAGACAAAATTACAAAAAAAAAAACTCTTTAGCCAACCAACAATCTATTTAAAAATAACACATAAAATTTCTGATAACTTTGTGGTTAATTTGGGAGACTTTTAGCAAGACTTATAGATAGTGGCATTGATCTCATAGTGGCACAGAGCCCTCTTGGTGACCTTGTCCTTGGGACTCAGGGCGAAGACGGTGCCCTCGAGGGTGTACAGTGTATTCGGGTGGTACATGAACTTCAGGATCGCCGTTTCCGGCGGCACTTGGATGCGATTCATCACGTATACGCCCTGTTTCAAGGGACAGGCGAGGCTCATATTGCTGGCGCCCTTCGAGAGCATCAGCTTGGCCACGTTGTTCCAGGCGGAGACGTGGCGAATGTATTTCCAGAAGTCGCAGGTCTTAGTCGTTGAATTGTAGAGGGTTCGCGGCAATTCCGCTCGACTCGCCGAGGCGCCGGAACTCCTTTTTCGCGGATGCTGCAAAAGGACGAGGTGCCACAACGGAATGGCCACATCCTGACGCACCGTCGTCACCGAGGACATCGAGTTGTTCTTCTCGAACATGTTGATCTTCAGCCCGTAGTTGGGCGTATCCCAGGACTTGGCGCCCACCAGCTTCATCATGTAGCAGTGCTATTGGAAAAATTAGTTGAGCTAATTATTTTGCAATCAAAATAATTATGTAATTTAAATTGCAAAAATTCTGAAACAACTCATTTCTTCTTAGGCAACTTGAAAAAAAATCAACACATAAAAAGTCCTTTAAAAGAAACCAAATTTCACCAATAACTAACTCAAATTAGACGAATTTATAGATCTCTTTCGCACCTGTTTGGTTAATTGCAGAAAGCCAAACAGAGTTATAAAACCCAACAAGTTCCTATAGAATCCCATATTGCAGGGAACTCCACGCCACGCGAATCAGAAGTAACTGAATGAATCGAACCAATAACCGAATAAAACGCAATTGCAAAGTGATTTAGCCATTGCGGCTAATGATAATTTCCGTAATTTGTCACACCTCAATTGGATCAATTCTCCCGGAATGACGGGCTAATTGTTAAATAATTGTGCGAGCATAGTTGCGCGAATTATGTATGTGCGACATTGGATGGGTTTTAAACTGTGCGGTTTATCAAATGAATAACACTAGTTAGCAAATTACAAAGTAATTTTAGTGCTGAAAAAAAAAAAAAAGATATTTAAAAAAAGATTTAGCCCACTTTAAAATAAAAGTTTAAAATTTGACAACTTTATGAGCAAGTTATGAGTAATAATTAATTTTCCGCTAGATGGCGCTAGATACGTTTTTGTAGGCTAGTGTAAATTATGTTTAAACCAGTAGACCATTTGTTTGTTTAGGCTGGACCCAATTAAGAGGGAAAAACATGTAACATGTTAGCCAACATCGTGTTGTCCCCTTGTTATGACTATAGTTATATTGTCTTTCCCGCTAATTGCATTTGCATCTGCACACGCTTTAGCTTCTGTTTCTGCCTCCGATATTTCCCAGCTTTCCGTTACACTTTTCCAGCATATCATATCGGCATTCTATACTATATGTTGGTACATTTGCCCAGATCCAGATCCGTTTCCGGCTTATTTGTTTGCTTGTCCTCGCTGCATGGCTCTCAATGGACCGAACAATGGATTGAAATCCACTTTCCACTTGCCGCATTCCCACATCCTCTCGAACACATCATCATCCTGTCGACGATTCATTCCCTTTGTCCCGTGTCCCGATTCACTGCTCATATTTACATTTTCTGTTATTTCCCCAGCAAATATTTGCATGACACTGACTGGCCTCAAACATATTTTCCAGGAATTTCGAGGCGTTTTCGCGCGTTTTTCCCTGCAACATCATCTGCAATCGCATCAACGCATCAGGGCCTCAATGCGATTTGCAATTTGAGTGGCGGTGGCAGTGGAAATCTCGTCCATCAGCCTTCATCTTTTCTTCCTTTATCTCTGCTTTGAGACTCGCTTGCGTTTCCTTTCACGATGGTCTTTTCATTTCATTTCATTTGATTTTATTTAATTTCATTCATGATAGCGGATAGCCAATACTTCTCTTCCAGCTAACTTAATTATATTAATGGCTTAATTAAAGCTGAACGTAATGGCATTACGGTGTACGAGTAACGAGCTGCAAATTAAACATTCAAGTCGATTCCTTGCTTTATTCTGTGCATATTCCATTTTCTATTAGCCTCTGAACATTTTATCGTTCGATTTTCACAACAACTTTATCTGTTGACTTGGCTGCAAATGGTGCACAAAGCCATTTGAAAGTGGTAAATTTATCCACATCTCTTCTTTCCTTTATCCTTGGCCTGTTTTGTTTTTTCTGTTTTTTGATTTGTGTCAATAGGCTTTTATGGGCTTTTAGTTGGACCATTGGCGACTCCACTTTTTGCTAGAGAAATTCCCGCCTGTGCAAATATTCTAAGCGCTTTTCACATTTCAAATGCACAAAGCCATTTCAGAGAGTTGGACAGCGAGTTCGCCTCTCCGTTTTGCGGCTGCAGAAATGGCAACTTTAATGTGCCCACACACATTGGGGAAAAAAAGTTTCCCAGGCCTGTCTTTCGCTAGCCTTTTTTTCTCATTCTCGCTGTTTTTCACTGCAGGGCGAGAAAAATGTCTGGACTTTACCAAATTTACGAACAAATTATTTTCGAATTTCGGTTTTTTTTTTAGTCTTCCAAGACAAGCCGTTTGGCTAAAAAAAATAATGAAAAAATTGGATCTTTTTTGGATTAAAATTAAATATAGAAAAAAATGTTTAAAATATTTTTAAATATTTTTTTCCAATATTAAATAGATATTTTCGTGATATCTAAGAAATATTTTTTTAAAGTGCCACCAAACTAATGCCATTTTTCCTAAATTTATCTCTCTCGAATTTCGCGCAATGTGCAAAGAAATAACCGATGGAAAAATACCTAAGTGATGACCAATTTCGCAGATATTTGCTCTCTGTATGGCTCTTAGCTTCTAGCCTTGTTTGTCTCATATCGTTGCATTGCATTGGGGGGCCTTGAACGTTTTATGATTGCACTTTTCAGCAATAAAATAACGAGTGGGCGGCGTGGTGAGCGGGGAATTGTGGATGTGGATGCAACGCCCCGCAGGATCTCCAGGATCCCCCAGTATTCGAGTATTCGAGTATTCCACATCCCAGATCCCCGAGCAATGCGACTTCACACCGAATGCTCGGCTGAAACTTTAATAACCCCAGACGAGGCCGACACTTGCAATAAACTGGCTGCTCGTCGTAAAAGCTCAACACACAGATACACATACCACTCGTAAAAAACAGAGGCACTAAAAAAAGAAGTGGAAAATGTGTGGGGAAAGGAATGAAGGAAAGGAAAGGAAAGCCCAGGAGCAGGACTCGGGGGATACGATGTCCTGACCAAAAGCTGTCAACGCGTCGCCATTGCAGCTCATAAACATGGGATCCAGATCCATGGGCCCCTTTTCCCTCATTTTCCTACATTTTCCTACATCTCCCCGCCCCTTCTGGCTGTCAGTTATAGTTTTGGACCATCGCATCACATTTATTTCGTCGCCATTCCTCTGCCGTTGTATTTTCAGCGGGAACACGCTGCTTTGCACTTTATTGCCTGTCCTGCATAATTGTTGGGCTTATTATTGGATTTTGAATAGCATCCCATCGACAGGACTGGACATGGACAGGAAAAGTCCAAAGTCCGAAGGCTTTTCCGACGATGAGTTGGGTTCCCAAATGTATGATAATCCGTGGGGAAACATGGACTTCGGGTTCCTTTGTCATATTAATAAATAAAGAGCAGTAAATGGGCAGGGGAGATAATAAAACTGATTAAGAAAATGATAATAGTCAGGGAAAACTTAAACAAATTGAATGTAAATTTAGAGTGGATTAACTGGGAATTAAATAAAATTTTTTAATTAATATTAAATAAATATAAGTAAATATTAATCATATTAATGTAAAATCATAAAATGTAATGTAGACTTTGTATTACCTTAAGAATTCAAAAACTTCAAACGGTTATTAATTATTACATAATTTAAAGTATATAAGTGGCATAAATTCACAATTAGTTTAAATTAAATTCTTGCATTCCACTTTCTTTGTGCTAAATGCAATTAGAGTGTTTCTTGGAAATTTCACTTAGCAATTGCTCTGACAGAATTTCTCCTGAATAAATGCACTATATTTACTCAGTGGCAGTGGTCTTCCCACCTCCACTTGCATTTGCAATTGTTTTAGCCCATTGTTTGTGACTAATCCAGGCTTTGGAGGAGTCCTTAAAGTGAACTGCAGCTTGTTCTTAGAATTTGAAGGAACTCTTTGATTGCTGAACTGGCATTTAAGTTCCCTTTTCCCTGCACAATTTACCCTTTAAGATCTGGGGCTTTATAGCAATTATCCAGTACTTGTATCACGCATATTACGCATACGCCACGTATGCCAGTTAATAAGGGACCCAATTCCCTTGACCAACCAACCAACCAACCGCCAAGACAAAACACAACTCATCAATCTCTGACAGCTTTGGCTGCCCGGAACGGAACCTATGCAAAACCCAAACCCAAACCCAAACCCGAGTGAAGTACTCGTAAATTTCATTTAATCACCCTGGTCTCGGGACTTTGATGTAGTACGAAAAAAAAAAACAGGGTAAGGAAAATATTAAACTCCAAAGGACCACCGTGCACGTGGCCATTAAATTGTCGGCCCTCGTTCCTTTTTTACATACATATATTTTGTGTTGTTTTGTATGAAAATTTATTGGCACTGCGACTGATGAGGCAGGAAGAGGTCGGCAAATTGGGTCAACGGCAATAATAACAACGAGGTGCAACAGTTTTGAAAGGGGATGAGGATGAGGTTCGGGGGCGGGGGTGGCTATGAAATAGAACGGAAACGGAAATGGCGGTGCTGACACAACCAAGGTCACTCAGATGTGTGGGATGTATATGCTATATAGGGGGTATAACTATATGGAGAATCCTAGTTGTAAGGTGGCTGGGGAAAACTCAAACTCAAACCGAAACACACACATCACATCGGATGGGAAGTGCAAATTTATGTTGGAATTAATTGCAACGAGCTGCGGGACTGGGAAAAGGAATAGCAACAGCCCAGGGACCAAAAGAGAGTCCGGCCGTGACTTTAATTAGCCGTAGAAAACAAGCACTCAAACCCCGCATTAACGGAATCAGTCAGCCATGGGCAAAATTATGGGGCTTACTTTGATTTAAAGAGACGAGAAAAAGGGGAAAAATATTTCTTTAAAGTAAAACATTAAATTTCTTTTTAATAAGAATATAAAAAATACTTCAACATTATTATTATTCTGTTTTAATATCCATTTAAATATTCCCAAATTGAAATCTTTTAAAATATGCCAAATATAATAAAATCAGGCCGCAGTGCTGACTGCTCCTTGATTATTGGCAACCAAATTGCATTGCAAATTTTACCTCATATTGAAATTAAATTGAAACGATCGATTTCTTATTCGAGGCTTTTTGTAAATGTAATATTCATTGAAACCCAAAATTCACTGGAAAAATTTTTGTGATAAAATGGTGAAGGAAAAATTACTTAACCTTCTTGGAAATGACACTAATTTGATTGGACATTAAAAAAAATCCCTGATAATTAAAAAAAATGCATGTCATTCGAAATCAGCTTAAAAATATTAATTCAAGCTGAAGTAATTGCAGCGGGCAGTTAATTTCATTTGTGACTGCATCTTCTGGGAAAAAGTGCATGATAATCCTGCGAAAAAGAATTAAATCAAGCAGAAATAATTTCCAATGACATTTGTGAAAGCCTAATGGAACTTGCTATTTAATTAAAAGATATTAATTCAAGCTGAAATAATTCGAGC